AGTTTAAAGAAACAATTTAAAATACGAAGAGGGCCTCTCAATTTATTTCAACTTTGATCCCTAATTAACATACCTTGTCTCAAGGGATAACATCTATTTCAACTCAATTATAATAATATTTCTTTGAACATGGTTTCTATTGTGTTGTCCTTAATGATCACTGAGTGTTATTCGCTCAATGATTGCAATTGCATTCTCCATGCTCTTGTATGAAAGATGTGTTGCAGCCCATTTTGAAAGATGCGTATCTGTTTAAGCTCATCAAAACTATAATTTATACATCTTACAGACATGGACTTGTACCTCTCCCAAGCTTCACAGATTGTTTCTTTTGGGGCTTTGGAAGAACACTTGAATGGTTGTCTTGGCTTATATGAATTAATGATGAGGAAAGTTTTTTTATCAAATAACTTTTCCTCCAATAAATCCTTATTTCTTATTGTTGACGTTGGTTGGTCTAGATGCCAATCTTTTGCTTTTCTAATTAGTGAATGTGGAAACAACATTAGGAATACCACTTCTTCCTTATACTCCAAGGCTCCTAGCGTCCTAGAAATCATGTAAAATTTTGTAAGGCGTGTAAACGATTCTTCATTATCTAAACCCACAAAAGGGTTAGCATACCAAATTTATAATAGTCTCATTTTCATCTATGGTTGATGAACATTCCTTTGTGGTATGGTTATGTGTGCCAGTAGTCTTGGACTATTGTGACATGACATGCCACCAGTGTTGCTTCCATTAATTTTGTTATTGTTATGATGGTTGTTACATGCGTCAACCATGTTTTCTTGTTTTAAGACTGAAGACACTTCTAGATCTAACAATCTAACTTTCAACTTTTTCTATTGGATTTTTAGTGTAGTTCTTTTGATTTTGAGATTGAACAAAATTGGTTATGTTGGATCCTTTCCTCGCGTAAACCATTTAAACTAGCTAATATTATTAGTAGCTTAGTGACTATAAACAAAATATAGAGATATTAACAGAAAATTTAAAATGATAAAAACTATTGAGATGTCTTTAAAAACTAACTCCCGTCCTCGGTAACAACACCATTTTGTTGTGAGTATGCAGTAAGAAAGTGTAATATTATCGTATCCATAGAGTTTGGTTGTGCTTAAAGACAAATTTAATAGTTTTTATGATTCTAAGTAAGGATTTAAAGTTGTTTGGTTGCAGAAAAGTAAATGAAAAAAAATAAATGGAGATTCTGGTGTTAATAGTGAGAAAACTTGCTAAAGGTAGATTTCGTCATCATTATACTCATGCAACATCATTGGTCAGTAATACACTCTTATAATTAGTTATTAATATTATCTCATGTTGCTCTCATCGTATCCCATTTCTGACTCAATGGTATGAGATCAACTGTATTACCTAATATGTGATGTCTCACACTATTAAATATAACAACATTAAGTTTCAACAGTGGTATAAAGATATTGATTACCAATTATCAATATTCTACAAATATTAAACTTAACCCTATGTCTAGACATTTGTATCCAATAGATGGATACTTGGATCTATTAATGTTCAACATCTTTCGTATGTCAAGTTGTACCATGAAAACATATTTTAGATCACTAATTTAAAATAAGCATTAAGAAGGAAGAATCATTAGTATTAAAGCTTAAGTAAAATCACACAAAACACCATGACCGAAATGAAACATGAATATATAATGACTAAATATATCCCTAATGAAGATATTTCTAGCTACGCTTACTCATCATAGTTCTACATGTAACCCAAGACGGTGAATTTGGATAGCCATTTGCAAGTTTCACTGCGAGAAACACTTCAGCATTTATTCCTTATCTCCTATTGAGACCAAGGTGAACCTACTCATTTTTTGTACACCTTGAGTCCTCCAAAACTCCCCAAGGACTAAAGTCGGACCTCTTATTTATACGCTAGAGAAAGGTAGGTTCGCTAGACACACCACTCATCCTTGCTTATCGCACCTACTTTCTTCTAGGTTTAGAAATGTCAACTCACACGAGAACTAACTCTAGCCACCCTAACTCGTTAGGCACACTACCCATCTTCACTTAGCGCTTTAATCCTTCATTCACCATGAAGTATTCTCTTGCTTGTTCTCACCTAGCGCATCCATGAAAGTGGCCTAGCGAGCCTTCCTTGTAAAAAGTTGGTCTTGGCAAGGTCTTTTTCTGTTGCTTGGTGGTTTTTAAATTCTTTTAATATGTTTTTGATAAATATGCAAGTAAAAAGTCTAAAGAGGTAATTAAACACTTTTGATAGATAAATTAGGAGTTTTTGCATTGATTGCTTGTAAAATAAGTCAATAAGTATCTCTGTACTTTACGTAATTTTTCCATTTATCTTTAAGTAGGTTTGAAAATTGGAAGAGGTTGAGATACTTCTTGAACAACTTTCAGAGGAATAACGTTTAAGTCAGTTGGATCTGATGACGAAGTTATCAATATTGGGTCATTCGATCATGGAGGAGGAAGAGGAGCAAAATGAGGATTTCTATTTTCTTTTGCCATTGTTCTGGCGGTGACAACGACCTTGGTTGATCTAGTGGACTTGAAATCGACCATAGTAAGAGATGTCGAATTTTAGATTTCAGACGAGGAAATCCATAGCTTAATGATCAAAGATTTGAGATCTGAATCATTGACATAAGAATGAAGTTTTTTTTATAAAGTTTGTAAGAATCAAAACTCAATTTTCATAGACGGCGCCACTCTTCTGCGAGGGAACCATATATATGAGATGAATCAGTGATTTGACTTCCAATGCAATGTGATGAGCTTTCTGTTACGAAGGTGAACAAATTTGTTTGTATAATTAGCACTCCAACACATAAGTCAATGAGAGAATGCAAAATGATAAATATTAAAAATATATTTTAATTTCTTATAAAAAGGTATCATCGTATTCAACTATATTCATAGTAAGTTTATAGTAAGTTTAGTGCTACACAAATATCAAAGTGGAATAAAATAATATTAAAAACTGATAAGTAATGTATTTATAGTATAGATTACGATGTAAAATATATAATTGTGTCATGAGAACATTTATCTTCTTTATATAACGAACTAGATTATAATTTGTAACCATTTCACGTGAAATGTTACGACATATGATGCTGAAGACTATCTAATTAATCTATACGAATGCCCTCTTCTTTTGTACATATTCTTCAATAATATTCAACTCAAAATCTATACTAATAGTTTTCCAAAACTTAATTTGTATCGCCATCCAAGCATGCTCATATCTCTTTTTTTTCTTCATAAAAAATATATTAAATGACAAATTTGGCACCACCACCACCGTCACCATAAATATTCCTTTTTGGCTCAACATGCTAATGTGAACTTAAACTATATAGTCTGGTCACCGTCTTCTTTTTCTAACCAAACACCTTCACTAATGCCTATCATCATGCATGTTTCATTTCATGCTATATCAACCCAATACACTTAATAATTTGTATTAACGCATTCTAATATTTACTTTACAAAAAGACAAAATGTTCCATTACTGCTTTCATTTTAGCATCCCACTTTTATTTTTGTTCAAAGATTTAGCATCCCACTTTATTCCAATTTATACAAATTCATAATTCAATTACTCCACACATATTGTCAAAAAGAAAATTATATATGATTGCTATCCCATTCAACACAAGGAAAATAAAATCAAAAGTGGTTGCTATAAATTTATCAATATATCTAGAAGTTGCTTTAAACAATAGACATTTTTATTTATTTATATTTTCCATGTAAAGGACACTCAATGATTGAAAATAACTATTTGTTTTTTTCTCAGTAAAAAATAGTAAATATAATATAATACGAACATGACCGTTTAACAATATTAATAATGCAAGATTAACAAAGGTGATTAAAACATAATTATGATTATGGACCCCGTAGTGGTGGACACTGTTACTATGCATTCACACGCATTCCTTACTTAGAGGATACTGTAACGTGATTATTATTATACTAATTATAATCTTTATGTCTAAAACAAAAAACAAAAGAATTGATTTATGTTAATGTTATGTCGTTTTTTCTACAGTTGATGGGTCACAACCGACACCCTACAATATATTGCTAATATCCCACTTCAAAGACAACATTGGTACAATTTGTCTTGGAGATTGAGAAAATGGGGTAGCAAAAAGCTACTTTTTTCTTGCGTTTTCCGTGTGATCATCATAATCCCAATGTCAGATTTTATGATTGTGGGGTTTGGTTGACTCAATTCTTCATACTTTTTTTCCTCTGGTTTTTTTCTTACCCATTTGCTTAGTTTTTGTGTTGATCAGTGTTAAACTTCAAGATTATTATTCACTTGGTAAGTGCTTGATCTCATATGGCTATTACAAGTTTCTAGGTTTTTTTGGTTGTTCATGATCACTGATTCACTGCCCTTGGCTTTTATTTTGTTTATGATCCTAATTCTACCATGATTTTTGCTACTTATGTTATGCATTCCTATTGTTTGATAATATGCTTTGTTTTGTTTGACCATAGAAACTTCTCTTGGATGAGCGAATTTTCTCCATTAAGTTTTTTCTCTTCATTTAAAAGTCAATCAAGATGAAAATTATGTATTTTCTGCTTGCTTTGCAATTTGTGATATAATTTTTATGTGGATGCTATGATCACGCCCTTGTAGTTTAATTTTTTTTCTTCTGTTTGGTATCAACTCTTTCTTGCAGTTGCCTTTGATATATCAAATTGTCTTAAGTTAGAAAAGCCTAAACAAGAAGCTCCCAACTCTTATAAACTTGAGCTGTGTCCAATTTGGCAGGTAATCATAAAACATCAATGTTGAAAGAGTTTATAATTTTCTTGTATACATGGGATTAAAGTTGGATTTCTCATGAACCTGAACCTGGTTATTATATGTAATATGTTAGGTACAAGAAATGGCAAAACAGAACTGAAGAGTCTCAAATAAGAACAATACTAATATCAAGTTTTTGCCAAATCAAAACCATCTTAGTTATGGCTACCTTGTCACAGTCGGAGTGCAGACGCTTATATTCTTGGTGGTGGGATAGCCACAACAGCCCAAAGAATTCAAAATGGCTTCAGGAGAATCTTACAGGTTTGTCTTTTTTTTTTCTTCCCCTCTATTACATAATTCTTTTATTGCTTTAGAGGAATCTAAATATTTTGTTGAACTTGTTATTGTTACATACCTGCTTTATTACAAAAAGAGTTGGTTGTTAAATTGATTACAGTAAATTAGCTGTCATAATAATGATAATAGCATAAATGCTACATTTAAGTTCAAACCAATCATAACCTACCAAAAGAATAAATTTCCACATCAAGAGACTACAGAAAGAAAGACATCTGTAATATATCATTACGGTAGGTTGGCTGGAATGGAGAATTTGATACCATAATACAGGCCCATATTAGTCTTCTAAAATATGAACTAATGTCCCCGTATTATTTTTTGAAATATTTTTTTCATTAAATTAGTCTCTCAATGATACTAAAACATCACCAAATTTGTTATTTTGCTTAATCCCTTTAGCTGTTCATGTGGATAAATTCACAACAAATGTGTATCTATAAAGGACTAATTCATAGGAAAAATGTTTGGAGCTCTAATGTGGTAATTAATTATGCTTCAACTTTTTAGCAACTTGTTGACAGAAATTGTTTAGATGGCTATTGTTGCAACATTCTATTATTTGGAGGATCAAGCCATGGATTTATTCAGTCGGAATGTCATATCAATCTCTACTTGCTTGTTTGGGACTAGAGAAGAAATTATTTGAGTGAAAATTGTGACATCTGGCAATATAGAAAATATAGTTGAATCTCACTTTAGGTAGTCTGGAGACATGATAAGAGTGTGGTTTGATTCATCTTCATGTAGCGGACTTCACCTAATGAATTAAAACTTGTTTTGTTGTTGTAGATCCCTTAGGGTCCTAAAGCTTTCTGTTGATTATTTCACCACATCTATTGTTTATGGTCCGTGCTTTTTAGCTATTGCATATTATGCATATGGTTCTTCTATATCCTTCATTTATAGAATTGAAATAATTATGGGTAGTGAATCAAAGCATGTTTATCATGGAAGACTAGCATTATTTTCTTCAATATCTTTGATTCTTTGTTTGAATATTCACTTGTTCATCATATAAAAGGACAAAGTATGGAAATGACATTTAAAAGGTTGCAAACAAAAATTCGTTTTTAAGTGGTGCCAATTCTAAACACAATCACTTAGAAGACTTCTTAAGGTTGAACGAACGGAATTTGTTTTTCATTATAAGACCCGCTGTTTGTCTGTTGAATTCAATCAGTACTATGAAAACATACAATCTGTTTTCTTCGACAGACATAAAAGAAATTGCATGAAAATGGAATCAAAACCTTGTCATAACTTGGAAGTTTGAGTTCACCGACTTTATCCTTGATCAAAGTTAGTTGCCAAAGATCTTATACACGATACACGTGATTTTTGTAATTTGTGAAAGCTACAATCAGTAAGGAAATTACAACTGATTTCTGTCCACACCTCTATTGATTATACAGATATAGACACCAAAGTCAAATCAATGATCAAGCTCATTGAAGAGGAAGCAGATTCATTTGCAAGGAGGGCAGAAATGTACTATAAGAAGCGTCCGGAACTCATGAAATTAGTGGAGGAGTTCTACCGAGCATACCGGGCATTAGCAGAGCGATACGATCATGCAATGGGGGAGCTACGTCATGCACAAAAAACAATGCCAGAAGCATTTCCCAACTCAGCATATTACATTCTGAATGATGATTCACCATGCGGTTCTTTGGGCCCTGAGGCTCAATCACCAGGACCAGGATTCCCCCCTCCAGTTCATCGATCAAAAAATAATAAAAGGAGTTCAGAAGAATCTGATGGTGAAGTTCAAACCTTAAGGGAAACCATATCCAAAATGCAGCATGACAAGGATGCTCTCTTTGTTCAGTACCAGAAGAGTTTGGAGAAGTTGTCCAAAATGGAGAGTGATCTTAATAAGGCACAAGACGACGCTGAAGGCCTTGATGAACGAGCGAGTAAAGCTGAAATTGAAGTCGAAATTTTGAAGGAATCTCTGAATCAGCTAAAAGCGGAGAAGGATGCTGGTGAAGTTCAGTACAACCAGTGTCTAGAAAGTATAGCTAGACTGGAAACATTGTTATCTCTGGCTCAGCTGGAAGCCAAGGGATTTGATAACAGAGCTGCTACGGCAGAAATTGAAGCCAAAAATCTGAAGCAAGAACTTACCAGAATGGAAGCTCAGAAGGATACTGTTTTTCTTCCATATAAGCTGTGTCTTGAAAAGATTCCAATGTTGGAGGGCAAGATAACAATTGCTGAGGAGAATTCCAGGATGCTAAATGAGCAAATTGGAAGAGCAGAACTGGAAATCAAAGCATTGAGGAAGAAACTTACTGAATTGAATGAAGAGAAAGAGTCTCTTGCTTTCCTTTACAATGAGTGCCTGAAGAAAATATCTTCAATGGAGAATGAAATTCTGAATGTGCAAGAAAATGCTGAACAACTAAAAAAATCAAACCAAAATCTTCAGTTAGAGGCTGAAAATTTAGTACAGAAAATAGCATTGAAAGATCAAGAGGTTTTAGAAAAGCATACTGAGATAGAAAGATTGAAGACTCTGATGCATGGAGAGCATTCTCACTTTATTCAAATTGAATCTGCTCTACAGACTCTACAGAAGTTGTACTCTCAATCACAACAGGAGCAAAGAAATCTTGCTTTGGAGCTTAAATATGGACTTCTGACTTTGAAGGACTTGGAACTTGCCAAACAAGATTTCAAGGAAGAGATGAAAGAGATTGTGGAAGAAAACAAGACTCTCCATGAACTTAACTTCTCTTCCACAAGGTCATTAAAGAAACAGCAAATGGAAATCTCTAAGTTGAAGGAGATCAAAGAGAAACTTGAACGGGAGTTCTCTGTAAATGCTGAAGAAAGCAACGCCCTCCAGCTTGAAACTCGCCAAATAAAGGATGATATACAGTACTTGAATGAGAGATATCAGGCTATGCTGGAACAACTACAAAGTTTAGGTTTAAATCCTAATTCTCTTGCAGCATCTGTTAAAAAACTACAAAATGAGAACTCAATGCTAAAAGAGGCCTGCCAAATGGAACAAGGTGAGAAAGAAGCTCTTCGCAAAAAATCAAAGGATATGGATGAAATTTTGATAGAAAATGCCTTTATAGAGTTTTCCCTTTTAAGACAGGATGATGAGCTAGATGGATTAAGAGGAACAGTGAAGGAAATTCAACAGTTATGTCAAGTTCTCCGGGAAGAAAAATCCATTCTCGTTGATGAGAAAATGGCTCTACTTTCACAGCTGCAAGTTATGACTGAAGGTATGCAGAAGCTAGTGGAGAAGAATAGCTTGCTTGAGGAATCCCTCTCTGATGCGAAGATTGAGTTTGAAGGCTTGAGGACTAAATCAGATGAGTTGGAAGAATGCTGCAAATTGCTAAATGATGAGAAGAACAATCTTGTAAAAGAAAGAAGCATGCTAATATCTCAATTGGAGATGGTTGAGGCAAAATTAAGTAACCTTGAAAAGAAGGTTACAAATTTGGAGGAAAAATATGCTAATGCAGAGAAAGACAAAGAAAATGCAGGCAATCAGGTAGAAGAACTCCGCCTTTCAGTTTTGGCACAAAAAGAGAAACATTCTAATCACAAACACTCAAGCGAGGCCCGACTTGCAAATTTGGAGAATCTAGTTCGAGTCCTACAGGAAGAACAGCGGTTGGGGAAGGTAGAATTCGAGCAGGAACTTGACAAAGCTGTAAATGCTCAAATTGAGATGTTCATCTTGCAAAATTGTATTGAAGAGTTGGAGCTGAAGAATTTGTTCCTGTTAACTGAATGTGAAAAACTTGTTGAGATGTCTAAATTTTCTGATAAAATTATAATGGAGTTGGAGAGTGAAAATCTTGTGCAACTTATTGAAGAAGAGTTTTTGTTACATAGAATCAGAAAGTTTAAAATGGATATCCATAAAGTGTGTGGTGCTCTTCAGATTGATTCTGGTGTAGGGTGTGACAGCGGAATCAAGCTAGAGGAAATACCGATATCACGTATATTGGAAAAAATTGAGGGATTGGAAAGTTCTCTTGTGAAAAGCCAGGAGGAGAATCAGCACCTGCTTGTTGAGAACTCTGTCCTTCTTGCTTCACTTCAGCAGCATCAATCTGAGGAAGAAAAACTTAAGTCAGAAAAAAAGATCTTGGAGCAAGAGTTCGAGGACATGAAAGAGCAGAATGCAGTCTTGCAGAAAGATAAAGTTGAACTTCTAGAGGAGAACAGACAACTGAGGATTAAAGTGGTAAATGGAGAAGAAAAAGAAAATAGCTCAAAATGCAGTTTGGTTGCTCTGCATGCTGAGATGACAGATTTGCGGCGAACGAATCAAGTGTATCAAGAAGAAAAAGGTAAGATACTTGAAGAGAAAAATTCACTGCTCAAGAGTGTTTTGGACCTCAAAGATGCAATGTCCTCTGCTGAAGATGGAAACAATGTAATGTTCCATGAGGTACTAGCTCTAAGCAACCTCAATTTGGTTTATGAGAGCTTTCTCACTGAGAAAGCTGTCGAACAACAAGCACTTTGTGAACATCTTGGCAATCTTAGCCATTTGAACAATGACCTCAACCAGGAACTAGGCGTTTTAAGGAAGAATTTGGAGCTGAAAGAAGCAGAGAATGTTTTTCTGAACGAGTCAACTGAGAGGATGGACAAAGAGGTGATGGAAATGGAGAAAAGGCTGAACGCTGCAGAGTCGCTGAATGCAGAGTTTTCAAGACATATTGAAGACCTGAAGACGGAACAACAAGATTCAAGACTGATCAAAGAAAATCTAGACAAGCAGATTCTTGAACTATCAGATAATTGCACGAATCACAAAAATGAAATTGAACACCTTAATGATGCAAACGAAAGTTTACAGTCTGAGTTGGAAAGACTTTTTCATGAAGTTGAGAAACACAGGGTTAGGGAAGAAACACTAAGTTTAGAGTTGTTGAATAAATCAAATGAGTTCAAACTTTGGGAGAATGAGGCTACTGTATTCTATTATGATCTCCAGATGTCATCTATTTGTGGAACACTCTTAGAAAGCAAGGTTACCGAGCTTACTGGAGTTTGCAAGAGACTTGATGATGAAAGTTCTGCAAAAAGCTTGGAGAATGAACACATGAGAGAAAGAATCAGTTTATTGGAAAATGAAATTGGAGGACTAAAGGGGAAGTTATCTTCATATGTTCCTGTAGTTTCTTCTTTAAAAGAGGATTTTGCATCTCTAGAGCACATTTCCCTCCTTTGGACTAATAGAAATTCTGCTGTTAGCAAAGGAGTGCAAAAGGTAGCATTTTTTTTAATGATATTGTGTACTTTTGTTTTTATCTCTTCCCTTTTTCTCTTGTCGAATCAGCTTCTCAGTGTTTTGCTATGTCATATGATTTTCTTTTTATCACAATTGCTTCACAAACATTATTCATGCATTTTGTATTGTTATATCTTGATATAGTGTGTAACAGTTTGTGCACTATTTTCATTATCTGTTAATTGATGTTTTTGCTCATTAGGTGCAATGAAATATGTGCATTTTATCATACAGAACATTTATATGTAATTTTCTCTCCATGCGCTGCCTGGGTTCTCATATTAATGTACATATATTTTCTATTTATACATGTCTATATCATGAATGTTTCTTCAGGATGTAGTAATTGGGACTTCTCTCCAAGAACATAGTCATCAAAGTTTAAGAGAAAATGAAAGTGAGTTAATACCAGATGGAGTTTCAGATTTGCTGACATTGCAGACAAGGATCAAAGAAGTAGAAAAGATTATGATGGAAGAACTTAAAAGACGCATCAGGCAGAAAAATCTTACCACAGAAGGAACCGGATACTCGGCTTTGGATGTTGGCTCATATCCAAAAATTGACACCCGAAAAAAGGTGACAGAACTTAAAGAAGAGAGCATGCTTGGCCATAATACATGGAGGAAAAAACCCAAAATTAGGCTGTTGATGAAAGACATTCCACTTGATCGCAACGTGGATGATCGACGCTCCAAGTACTGGAAAAGAGAGCATAGAAGAACTGATGATCATATGTTAGAGTTATGTGAAACTAATGATCATGAACCAGTATCTGCTCCAATCGAGGATGTTATAATATGCCATCTTTCCGATAATTCAGGAAGATATCTAAATTACTCCTCAGAATTGGACATAGAGAAGGAATTAGGTGTTGACAGGCTCGAGTTGTCGAAAACGGTAAAAGAGAAAAATGAAGATGACAAAAGGAGGAGGATCTTGGAGAGGCTTGTCTCGGACAGTCAGAAATTAGCCATTCTTAAAATGGCTTTGCAAGACTTGAAAAAGAAAACCGAGACAAAGAAGAAAAGCAAGCAAGGAAACGACTTTGAATATGAAACAGTCAAAAGACATATAGAAGAAGTTGAGGAAGCTGTTATGCAACAAGCAAGTACAAATGATCAAATGGCAAAGAATGTTGAAGAGGGAACTTTATCACCTTTGGATAGAGAGATTCCAATGGAACTGGAAAAATATGGGCACGTCGAAACAAGAAGAATGACAGAACAGGCTCGAAGAGGTTCTGAACAAATCGGTCGGTTGCAGTTTGAGGTACAGAACATCCAATACATATTGCTGAAATTGGCTGAGGAGAACAACATTAAAGTGAAAAACAGAATCTCTGGAAAAACAGGTATATTGTTGAGGGAGTTTATCCAAATTGGAAGGACAAACAGCAAAAGGCGAAGAAAACTGCGTGTATGTGGATGTTCAAAGCCATCAACTAATGAGGATTGAGTCAGAAATTTAAATTTAATGTTGTAAGTGCATTATTCATTTGGAATGTTTCTAAAACTAGCTTATTAATGCTTAACTTAGTTTTATGATAAGAAATAAGAGATTATCAGTTAAAAAGGTTTGTCTGAATTAAAAGTAACTTTCTTCACATTTGCATGTACGTTTTAGCATCCAAAGAATTGTACCGAATGACTTAATATAACGAAAAGCATTATAACAATCAATAAAACTCTACTAGTAACTTTCTTCACATTTGCATGTATGTTTTCCTTTTTTTGTGCGAATCATTCAACACATTTATTATGTGACCAGTATTATCTGTCGTAGTCATGCATTTGGCACATCTTTAAGTCTGGTCAAGTCAACAATGGCATACACACCCACAACAAGCAGCCTTTGAATACCTTAACACCCATTTCTTGCTTCATCGCTACTCCAAGTCTCCAACTATATAGACCCTTCTTCCATGCAACTTCCTTATATCTATAGTTTTTCTCTTTTCTTTTTAAAAAGCCTAAAAATCAACAAAGAAACACAAGTTCTGTGATGGAGGGAACTTTAATTTCTTCAAAATCTTATCCCAGAGAAGAGAATATTGACTTGAACCAAATCACACTCCGACCCCTTAATCTTTCTGATCTTGATGATGTCATGGTATGGACTACTGATGAAAAAGTGGCCAACTTCTGCTCTTGGGAACCTCACACCAGCAAAGATGATGGCATAAACTACATTGAAAATATAGCAAGCAACTTTCTATGGTGCAAAGCAATATGTTTTAATGACCGTGCTATTGGATGTGTTTCTTTGTTCTCGAGCTCGCCTCATGATACATGCAGGAACAAAACTGCAGAACTTGGTTATGTTCTAGGTTCTAAATACTGGGGAAAAGGTATTGCCACATGTGTTGTGAAACAAGTTGTTAAGGTTGCATTCACTGAGTTTTCACACTTGGAAAGGGTTGAAGCTCTTGTTGATGTGGAAAACGTTGGGTCTCAAAAAGTGCTGGAGAAAGCTGGTTTCCAAAAGGAGGGTGTTCTCAGGAAGTACCTATTCATGAAAGAAAAAAGCAGGGATATGGTCATGTTCAGCGTTCTTTCTGATATTACTTTAATCAAATGAAATATGTTACTCTTTCTATATAATACTATTTTTTAGGTCTCTCTTTTAGTGTTTAGAATTGCTGGGTTTGTTTTATCGAATGTCTTGTTTACACAGCATGGGATGTCTTGTTTTGTGGAAATGACTCTTTGAACTCGTGGGAACCTGGTGTTCACTTTTGAAGTGATAGATCTAGATTTTTTTGATGGTGTATTCTTATTTGTAGTTGAAGCATTGATGTCTTAGTTCAGCATCGGGGTAATTGCAAATCCTTTGATACTCAAGATAGTGATTATCAGAAGAGAGAAGGGTTCACTTTGAACTGATTTATAGTCAGGTTCTAAGATTTTGGAGATCTAGAACCTTTTGTGCATAACAATCAAAGAGACACTTGTCATAATATTATCCGTTATGCGATTTGATGGTCATTTTGCAAGACATATTTTTGCTTCATTTACAATTTTGTTTATGTTAGGTTTTTGGGTTGATCTTGTTCAAAAACTCAAGTCCTTACAAGGTTGTGGCGTTGATTCTGTGTAAAAGATCAAATTATTGTTTTTAGTGGAAATTTCAAAAGAAAACTTTTTGGAACTGGAGTAGGCTATATAGTTTAAGATTAAATTAGGATAATGTGTAAAAGATCAAATTATTGTTTTTAGTGGAAATTTCAAAAGAAAACTTTTTGGGACTGGAGTAGGCTGTATAGTTTAAGGTTAAATTAGGATAATTTCTGGTGTGATCTTTCCTTCACTATACTTTTATATTCTTGTCATTTACTGTAATTTGTCTTTTTTGCAGTTAATTCTCTATTTATCTTTGCTTCTAATATAAAATATTGTAAATTAATTGTTTTTGTTAAAAAAAAACTTTTAAAATTAAAACATCACAATTCATTTTCCCTTTTTTGTGTTTGAAGTTGCTTGTTTAACATTGTAATCTAGAGTGTTCTTCTTTGTAGGTCGTCGACCTTTGCACTTGTGATTATTTTTTCATCCAAATATTTCTTATTAATCTTGATCTTCGACATTCTTTTTTTCCTTGTCAAGGTCCGATGGAACTCTTCGAGATTTGTTGTCTTCACTTTCTACCACATGTTGTGTATGGTTTGTACGTAGAATGGTGGTCTATAAATAAGTGTGGTATGATTATTGACCAGGAAACGTAATTGTCATTATGACTTTAATGATGTTATCTCAAATGACATGATACCTGATAGTTTCTCGGACAAGTGTATTGATAGTGTCATAGTAATAATAAAAAGATTGTCTCCACGAAAATTGTAATTTAACAAAAAAATTACGTGCGAAATTAAGTAATTAAATGAGGTTTTTCGTTATAAAAGAGGTTCTAAAACAAGAAGTTATGAAGATGAAATTCAATGCGGGAAACATAACCACTACACCCAATTCTTTGGTGTGTAGTTCACTAATTTATACGGTAATTCCCTAATTCTTTCGACCAATTCAAGGTCAAATTATGTTGTTAGTATGTTACTTCATTAGCAACAACTTCTAAATTTCTATTTCTAGTTCATTACAAAGTTGAATAAGCTGTCTAGTTCAGATAATTAGACTAACGGTAAAAAAATCCCTAATTATATAGATCAATTCATACGCCCATAAGCGACAAAAAGCATTAAACACAAGAATAATTTAAATAAAATAATAACATTAAAAGTACTCAACAAATCTCAAACAAACATATGACTAAACAAAGTAAAAACAAGGTTCATCTCAAAAATCTTTAGTATAGAAAAACTTAGCTACTTATCAATAAGACAACAAATATCATGAGTGGAGAAGTATTCATCATCAAAAGTTATGGAAGAATTGTTCACTAATGACTTCAATGTGCTTCAAAATCTCCCCTTGAATGACCCTAGTCGTCACTTTCTATCTCTGATTTAGAACCCTTAAAAAATTAGAAAAAAAACATATTTATAGCAATTTTGTGTGTCAGAAAAACGTGTGACATCGCACTGTGATGGATGGTATTGAAAGCGTAGTCAAGGTATCGTTTGGTATCGCTTTTGTGTTTTTATCTTTTTGTCAATTTCAATATAATTGTCTTATGTAAGTATATGTGTAACCTCTGAGAGGGAGATAAATTAGATTTATTGAACTTTTTTCAATTTGAAACGTTAACACTAATTTTGTTATTTTTCAGAATTGATATGAAAGTAAATATGCTGAAAAATAAATGTAGAAAGTAAATTACACAACAATATATCCTGATTCGTCTTACAGTTTAAGAGTACTACAGTCTCCTCACTCCCCTTGATAGATTTTTCACTATGTCAGATCTTTGTACAAGTCTTCAACCAAGACCTATCCTACAATCTTCTAGCATAAGCAACACAATAAATAAGGACAATCCTCATATGATCTTTGCAAAGTGCAACAAGAGAACAATCATCCCTTATTCATACTCTTACTTGTTTCAATTCAACAATTTTAGACTCAAGAAATGAACAATTATTGCATTCTAAATTTTTTATTAAGTCTAACTCCACTTGAATGTTATTAGACTTTCTTTTTATATTTAAAATAGTTTTCTTTTAAATTGAACATTTTTTAGAAAGTTTCAAAAGTTCATCATGTATATCATGAAAGCACTTTGTAATTCATCATAAAGTGGAATATCATCAATTTCAGAATTACTAACCTCGTGTTCTTCATCACTTGAATGATATGAGACCATCAATATCTTGTATGCATGATCTTCATCTGAAGATGAATTTATTACACTATTGTTGCACCTCAAAAAATACGACCTTCGTGATGGACGCGGAAAACAGACAGAGACGCCACCGAACTTTATTTATTCTAAAGAGGAAAAGGTAAATATCGATAAAACCTTTAGGGAAAGAACATGGTCATCACAACCACATTCTGGGTTCGAGAGTCGGTTACGTGAGGGTAAGGTGTTATCACTCCCTCACGTCCGTTGTACTCAATGGGAACCTCTTAATTTGATTCATGAGAAATGTTAGCTAAGATGGTTTGTTTTTTCTAAGGGAAAATGTGAAAAGGTAAGGTAAAAGGATTTGCTATTTAAAGGGAAATGAGTGGTTTTTATTAGGGTGCTCGCCAAGGATTGGTGCCCCTGTGCCTACGTATCTTTCTTTTGAAAAAATGAAGAATCAGAGCGTCTGTAGTTTGTGGGACTACAATGAAAAATAGGGTAGTTTCTCTCTATAATCTTGCAATCCTATGTCTACATATTCTCAACAGGTATGAAAAATCAGAGCATCCATGGTTCGGACTACTGTTTGTTGGTTTTTTTATAGATGATGTTAATGTTCACGTGCTAGCAGTTAGGTGTATTGCAGCTCACTCGTGGAGTCGTATGCGTTACATGTATTGCGGTAGAACAAAATAACATGTCCTTTTAAGAAAGAGTTTTTGAATCGCGCAGAGGCGATAAGTTGATTTAATATATTGATTGTTTATTTGGATGACAATTATTTGAATGCTTAATAAACACTCCTCGGGCACAAATAATCGGGAGAGAGAATCGAAGACTCGACTATCTCTCTTTTTCAACCTTAGTTGCGAAAGAATTTTGATATAGTTTAAGTATTTTAAGCGGATGACGATTACTTGAATGCTTAAAAAGGCTCCTCGGGCACAAGTAATCGGGAGAGTGAATCGAAGACTCGACTCTCTCTCTTTTTCATCTAAGTGATTGAAAAAATAGTTTTGATTTAGTTTATTATAAAAAATTTGATGTGAAGCGGATTATTAATCTTTTAGAGAAGACAATTAATCGAGTGTGAAAAAGACTCCTCACACTTAACGAATCGGAGAGAGAACTCGAAGTTACTAGTCCAACTCTCTTTTCATCATTTATTGAAAGAAAGTGTTTCATAGTTATTAAGTGTTTTAGTTTGATTTGAAAAATGGTAAGAATGCAGATCGAGGTTCAAATTTTTGTTTGAAACAATTACGAGTTTGAACTAAATGGTAAGAAGGTCCTAATTGAGTAAGTTAAGATCGATGGCGACGCCCGAGGCAGTCGACTTACAAGTGTTAGGGTAGGGCTTGATATATGGATCAAGTATGCTTTAGGGTTTTGGATTCCATCTACTAACCATGGTGCTCACATGTCAACAATATCTCTTTGCTCCACGCTCACCGCACCTCTTGTTATGAATCTTGTTATGAATTACGACAAATTTCAATATGAGGCAAAGAACAATAGCAACTAAAATAAATGGTCTTCAGCAATAATAATCCGTACACAGATAATATAACAGAATAAGGCAAGAAAAATTTGAAGGTTTGTTTATCCAGTTCGATCTACTCTGGGAGAGAGAGCAACTCTCTAATTCACTATACTCAGAAAATTGTTACAAGAGATTAAAGATGAGTTACAAGAAATTCGTCTTCGCCTTCAGATTCCCAAGAACAACCTTGAAGGTGCCCAAGAACAACCATATTTTTTACCCAAGTGTTTTCCTACCTCTCCAACTCTCAATACCTCTCCAACTGTCAATATATGATCACTCGAATCCAAGGTATAATCCAAGATTTTCTCTGTGCATAGCTGAAAGATTATGATATACCTTTAAACTCTTGTCTCCCTTGTTGGTGAAAACTCTAAGATTGTCACACACCAAGCATATAAGAGATACATATTTATAATAGCAAATACCCAACAAACAAAGGGCAAAATCACATGGATCCATGGATCGAATCGAAAAAGCCCGAAAATTTGAAAATACTATTTATCGTACGGACAACACTATTCACCGTACGGATGTCATTTTTCATCCGTACAGATAGCACTATTCACTGTACGGCTTGCACTGTTCACCGCCCGATTTTTTTTCTCGACTTTTCGCCTGACTTTCTAAAACTTCTGATTTTCACGATAAATGCAATCTCCAAAATAGATTTTATTTCTCTTCATCAACAAAGGTTTTAAGACACATTTACAACAAAGTCAATTTGAACGATGAGATAGAAATTAACACCAAGACCGTTCTTGAACTTGTGTGACAATTCATGATTCGAACGAAGGTCAAACTATTTGGATGACGTTTTTTATTGGATAGATCACGTTCCAACCTCGCGGTCAGGGCAGTAATTTCCGATCCCATGATATCGTGTGTGTTTTTTGTTTTAATGAAATTGAAACTATTAATCACATCATGATTACTTGTCTAAATATTAGGGTAGTTTAGAAAGCAATTTCGAATTGGATTGGAGTTTTTTGTATTGAATCACAGAATTGTACAGACCATTTGATGGAGTGATTCATCTGATTGATTTGCCTTATGTGCGGCGTTAATATGGTTTTGCTATTGTTGGAGTTTTTAGTGGGCTAAAAACCAAATCATCTTTAATGATGGTATGGTATTGCTTGTGGTATATTAGTTCATAGAATCATCAAGATGTCTTGGTTGTGGTTAACTATAGAAACATCCAAGGCTATTGTTTGTTTATTTTATGATTGGACTAAACATCTTATTGATTTTTTATGTTGGTTGTTGTACTTGTGGTTGGTTTGCACTCATTAAAAAAAACTCATATGTCTTGCTCTCCTGCACTTTTGTCTATGGGAATGAAATTTGCTTATAAAAAAAACTCCAGACAAAAGGTTAGAGTAAAAAAAAACTCCAGACAAAAGGTTAGAGTAAAAAAAAACTCATATATTTTATTGTATGAATAATCTCATTTTTTCTATCGGTTTCTCATATGTTTTTATTCTCTTTTTTTTTAAATACATTCGATTTAATTTTCACATTTTTTTCTTTCATTTTCTAGTTAGAGTTAGTTTCTCTATTTTTCTAGCCACTTTTTATGATCATTTTAATAAGAATATATCACATACTTGAGATTCAATACAAAATCTCTAATATAACTCTACAGGGTGTGCTTAGATACCATTCTTCCATGCAACTTCCTTTCACTCTTGTTTATTTATACTTTTCAATTCCATGACTTTATAAATAGCCTAAAAATCACACTTGCATGCATCCAAATTAACTTAGAAAAGAAACACCAGGGCTATGCTGTGATGGAGACAACTTTTATTTCTTCCAAAGAAGAGATTATTGGTTTGAACCAAATCACACTCCGACCCTTTCATCTCTCAGACCTTGATGATCTCATGGTAATAACAACCGATGAAAAAGTTGCCAATTTCTGTTCTTGGAAACCTTACACAAGCAAAGAAGAAGGCATCAAATTCATTGAAAATATACCAACCAGGTTTCTTTGGTGCAAAGCAATATGTCTTAATGATCGCGCTATTGGTCGTATTTCTCTGAAATCAAGATCGCCACATGATAAAAGCAGGAACAAAACAGCAGAACTTGGTTATGTTCTAGCCTCTAAATATTGGGGTAAAGGGATTGCCACATGTGCTGTGAAACAAGTTCTTAAGGTTGTTTTCAATGAATTGCCACACTTGGAAAGGGTTGAAGCTTTTGTTGATGTTGAAAATGTGGGGTCTCAGAGAGTTTTGGAGAAAGCAGGCTTCCAAAAGGAAGGAGTTTTGAGAAAGTATCTGTTCGTGAAAGGAAAAAGCAGAGACATGATCATGTTCAGTGTTCTTTTTAGTGATCTCCAACTATGATTTGTTTGGTTGGTATTTCAGTTTTTTTGTTACAAAATGTTCAATAGGGCCTTATATGAAATATCAAAACAAAACCTCAAGTTAGAGGAATATTATAATATATATAAAGTTACATAGTCAAGTCAATTATGGCATACCAACATAAGGCCAACAACCTTGCTTGATCCCAACTCCAAGTAAATAGATACCCTTCTTCCATGCATCTTCCTCTAAGTTTAGTTTGTTAGGAGGATAATATTGGGGCTGGTGTTTCTCCATTTCTATGATAGTTATTTTTGGGTTTGTTGAGTTCCAATTCACCAATAAAATATTGTATTCACAGATACAAAAAAGTTTCATCTCATTCCTAATTTCATTTTAAATCGAAGTCTTAAATGCCTTTTCAGATGTTTTAAAAGATGTTCAATACTAATGTATAGAATAGAAAGATAGCTTAAAATTAAAACATAATATTGAAACTTATGCTGTTTTTTTATGAATGGAGTACAATAAATGTTGCTATTACGAGGGAAGCCAAAATTAATTTCAACAATATGATGAAATGAAATTAATTTTGGGTGTGATACAGTAGTTGACATAAAAGAATATTGACACACTAACGGTAATTCTAATGGTTCAGATTCATTCTCATGTTCTCTCGTAAAAATGACATTCTCATATAATACGTCACACATGTGTGTTTGTGCGCGTGCCCGTGTGTGTGACAAAATAGATAGGAAAGAAAATAAAGAAGTAAGAAGATCATCTACCTCTAATAATGACTAACTGATCCCTGAATCCCCTAAATAAGTCAAACAAATTTATAGTTTAGTAATTTCAACTATCTCTAAGGAATTCTTCTTTAATGAAATTCGGAATCGACTTCCACCAATGATTGTCAATCTCCTCATGGCACTGAAGGGTAGTTTAATTCACACATGTCTTGTGTGAGTGTGTGTGTTTTTTGTATGCTTGTGTGTGTGTGCAGGTACGTTTATGTGTGTTTGTGTGAGCGCGAGCATGAATGTGTGTGTGCGCGTGTGTGAGTTATATGTGTGTGTGCGGGCTCAGATGTGTGTGTACGTGTATGTGAACTTTCCATAATAATTCAGATTCTTGCAATTTACTCATCTGTTTCTAAGGCATCATGGTGTCTTGCATGATGCAATCGATAGCTCTAAGCGAGTCAGGCTCAACCTAGATTTTAAGCCAACCTCCTCGTCGCATTCCTGGGTAGCCAAATGAGATGCACAATATGTGCCCTAACTGCCATCGTTGTATGTTTAAGTTTGGGAAGCCAACCTAGCATAGTCATCTGAACAAGATCTTGAGTTGATGTTGGTAGAGTTATTATCCCAGATATCACAGTTATCTCCTTCCAAACATTCATAACAAACTGACATTCAAAAATAATATGAGTCAAGAAATTCGTCTGTTTTTTACATAAACCACACATGGAAGCCAAATTCCACTCCTCTTCTGTAGGTAACTTTCTGTAAATCAACCTCCATAAAGTAAAAAAAAATGTAAGAGATATGAACTCTTGCCAAGTTAACTTCGCCCATTCTAGGGAATTCAGATTATGTGCCTCCTTCACTATAAGGCCCCGTTAGTTGCATGCTTCTAGAGTAATTGATCACGAATTTGACTCCTTGGGAGTAAGATTTGAGGAAAACGCAAAGCAATTTTAGGATGCTAGGTAGAGATGTAATTCAGGATAATCCATATACCATTTATAATGACATCACTCACCATAGTCAACAACCTCTTTATGGTGCGTAAAAGAATATTAAGGATCTCGCTACTCCATAGGCTTACATACATCTGTCCAAACGACTGTACAAAGTTTTCGATTTTTGACTAAGGATATTGTCGCTCCAAATAAAGTTTCGAAACCAAATGTCCAATTGTTTTATGACCTTGTCTGACTATCTATAAATATGGAACGAATAGACCAACATGCCTTGGACTAAAGGACCCCCTTCCAAGAAGCTAGTTTGGTGCAAATCTTATAAGCAATGCATTGGAAGTGCGTTGTCTTCATCTTTCCTTTCAACACCTATCATCTCATATAAAAAAATGGATATGTCTTTGCTGGAACTCCAACCAAGTTTGGATAGTACTCCTCTCTGTAAGAAATAATTACAACATAAATTTTACATAAATTTTACTTTTCTCTGTATTTAAGATTTGCTGGAACCCAAATTTTACTTTTCTCTGTATTTAAGATTTGCTGGAACCCAACCAAATTTGGATAATACTTCACCCTGTATAGACATAACTCCAACACAAATTTTACTTTTTTTTGGATTTATGACTTGCTCTGCATCATAATCATTAAAGATTTGTATCTGTATATCATAAACTATATATATATATATATATATATATATATATATATATATATATATATATATATATATATATATATATATATATATATATATATATATATATATATATATATATATATATATATATATTTGGACAACGTTTGATAATAGGAAGGAAAAAAGACACTTTATATATATATATATATATATATATATATATATATATATATATATATATATATATATATATATATATATATATATATATATATATATATATATATATATATATATATTTGGACAACGTTTGACAATAGGAAGGAAAAAAGACACTTTTTATGAGTTTAAGGAAATGTTCTCTAAGTAAGTTATTTGAATCAATCTTGAATTTTATCTAAAACCTTTTCCTATTGTGGTGATTCTACGTCAAATTTATCACTCGTATGGAGAGTCATGATTTTTTTATTTGTATTTCTCATTTTATTCGGTGTGGTATTAGAGTCTAGAATAACTCAAATCCATATTATGGAACTTATGTAGCAGTAAGTTTGATTGTAAAAGGAAAATGAAACATTCAAGACCTAAATGGGACTGATTTTAGAGTAATACAAAGTATCTTAACGAATTGAAAATACAATTTCCTTACTTCTATAGTTTGTCTATTATCAATCTATCAAAATTTTATTGAATGTATTTTCTATTTTACCCTTTTACAATACAAATATTACACTATCAAAAGGATATATTGGTAATCAACTAATTACCACATTTTTATTCAAGGTCTTCTCTATATTGTTGTCATTTGTCGATCATTTATTTGTCCAAATTAAACTAATAATTTTTTAAAACTCCTTTCTCACCTTTTCCACATTTTTCTGTTTTCTCTTTTTCTCTTTGCTCTCCCTTTTTCTCTCAAACCTTAACATAGTTGTCTTCCAAGTTTGTACGAACTTGCCATGTAAAATTGCTTCTCATCATCATTATCTAATTCTTTTACAATAATTTTAAAAACACTGTCATTCTTTTAGTATGTATCCAAGAGCAAAACACTTGATTATACCCAAATGGTTGATAAAAATGTACAATCTTGTGTATCTAATGCCTTTTTAATGTTAATTTTAAGGGATATAGGTTTGTAGTTTTCGATGATATATGCTCCGTTAAATCTAGAGATAAGCACCACCAGGCTAGAATTGAGTACTATCTTCTTGAAATATCCATTTTCTACAATGTTATGTGTCTCTAACATTCATCACAATCGTTTGTTTCAGGGAGGTAGTGCAGAAGTGAGGTTTCAGCCTCGATTGGGACAGTTACTTGCAGCAGATTCTGATAAAGTGGTATCTATTTTCAACGTCAAATTTGACAGACAAATTTACCTACTGCCGGTAAAAGATTGAGTTGCTCTATATAGCTATCGTGATGTTTTTCAATTGAAGATATTTTCTATGTGGATTTTGTAGTTAAATCACTTGTCTTTGTAGTGCAAATTCAGAGATATGTTGGCATCTGTTAGTCCAAATTCGGTAAAGATGGCACTGACTATTGAATGGAGGCCTCTCTATGATACACTGTTTAGCACACGTTTTACCAAATAAGTTTTACATTGATACTGTTGATGTTGCAACCTTAATTGGTTTAAACTTTATAGTTATTCTATGTTGTTTATAGTTTGCGATGCATAGCTCTAGAATCTTTGATTTCTTAGCTATCATTGATAACTAAGGAAAAAAATTTTGATACTGAAACTTTGCAGAGGATGGAAGCTGCTTATGAAACTTTGCAGGTACTGATACTGAATTGAATTTTGTTACATCCCATTCAAATTTACTATAATGATGTCGGAACTTGCTTCTTTTGTTGTTTAATAACAGGATGCTGCTGGATTAATCCAATTAAGTTCAACAGTGGAGAATGTATTTGCCATGGTGATCTCCCTCTTGCTGCTGAAACTCTGGCTAATATGAGGCATTGCTTGTCTGTTGTCGGGGAGGTACTAATTCTCCCCCTTTTGATTATCTATCAAGTGCATGAGTTTTGGTACATTTATTTTTTGTATATACTTTTGTTTTCACGACCGGTTTCGGAAAGAATACTGAATACGGAGTACAATATGAATGATTCTTTTTACATTTGCCATTTGATGTTGTTGAGAATATTGCTACAACTACAACATTAATATTGGTTTGATTCTAAGTGAAACCACTAATTTTACAGTCATATTGCAAAGTAACTGAAGTCTTTATTATTCTTTATGGCTTATCTTAAAGGTATGTGATGTTTAAGCATAAATTATATATAACAATGAAATGACCTTGCTTTACGGAGTATTTTGTTTTAGTTATAAAGGATTGAATGGTAAAAATTGGATGTCGCTTGGGTTATATAGTTGTAGACGGGAGCAAAATTATAATGAAATAGAATTTCATGGCCTGACTTTAACTGGTGTGGTTTAAACATGTCCATATATGAAATTTGCACATCCTATGAAGTTTTTTTTCCTGTCCATATATGAAGTTTGTATACCTGCAAGTCTATTTTTTTTGCAAGTTGTTCTTTGTCATGGTTCTCATATGTAACTGATATGATGTTTGTGTTCATATTACGTAAACTCATGATCTGTAAATCCTACTGCACTATTTTTTTCCTCTGTTTTTGTTTCCATGTTCATGGTTTTCCTTTGTCATCTACACTATGCTTTATTTCTGTACTTTATGACTTCACAATTTACTTGCACAACCTTAATGTCTTTTACATTTAGATGATGCAACAGGTTAGCAGCTACCCAATCAACCATTCTCCGTCTCATTCTCTCACCCAAACATCGGATTCATTTGTACAATCTAACACAAAATGGACACAACTAAATAAGGTCAAGAGTATCCGTCAAATTTGTGAACTCAACAAGGTTTGTTGTATTCTTTAGCATATATTTGTTGAAAGTATAAGTTACTGTTATAATCATCTATTATTCAATCTATTTTGTAACTCATATGGTACCATCAAACTTCAAAAGCAGCATTATCGATCATGGACACTGATGTTGGAGTCGGCCTTCAAAATGAATCTATTGTATGTCTAACTCATGACTCATATGTCCTTAACAGCACTATATATGAGTATGCTTATTATAACTCATTATGTAGTTACAAATTACTTGTGTCATTTGTAGCCAAGCAATTCAGTTGATCAAAGTTTTTCTGTAGTACCACCCACTTCTGTCAAGAGTGATTGCAGTCCGTTGACATGCTCTAGCAACACCCCTGCTAAGAGGGTTGTTGTCCCAACCACTCTAGATGACATTTTGCAAGATGAAGTCTTGACTCCACGACAATCTGCAACGAAGGTTAAGCACATCAAGAACGAGTGATCATCTTATGCAAGCCTCCACTTTTTATGCTTTTTAATATTTTGTTGACTTCATTAATGTAATGTTAAGTACATCAACAACTTAGTCTATCTACTGGTGTATTAGATATGTCTCTATCTATTGGTGTGCTGTTGAGAAACTACCTACTTCATGTTTAAAAGCAATGTTATATTAACCTTTTGGTTTCAGATCTTTGTGAATATAACAGACAATATGCTCTTCTTACTTTTATTAGTCACAATTTCATTTGCGAAAAGATTTGGATCATCTCATGCACTTTCCCTTTGGCTATTTTTATGCAAAATTTGTTGTGGACAATGATAACCCGCCAACAATGTTGTAGGCCACATTTGGTAGTTAAATGCAAAAACCCCGTGGCACAACATTGTAGGCCACATCTGGTAGATTAAACGGTTTCAATTATGAGTGAGTGATGAAGTTTGATGATTTTCATGTGAACGGGTGTTGAAATTTTTGTCTTGCATATATTAGTTCATAGGATTGGTGCATGTTTGGTTAATTTGTAGTATAATATCTTGCCAGAATCATGGTAAATTGGTAAATCACTGCAATCAAGGCAATTCCACCTTAATGTCAAAACATGTACTATATGACAAATCCACCGAAACCAAAGTCCTAGGCTATATACAATCAAAAAACAGGTGAGAGTTGTAATCGGAATATCTTTTGCATGATAAAATAAGGAAATGATGAATCATTAAAATATGGGATATATTTTCTCTACTTTCTTTATAAATTATACGTCTTTTGACATGACACAATAATATTATAAACATAATAATACAATGATCTCTACATTTTATTAAGTAGATCATTAAGTAGATCATGCAATTGCAATGTTGTACATTTGTTTTAAATCAAGTAGATAAACATATATTCTTAAAATAATATTATGCATCAAGCTGGATTTATGCTTTATGCCTTTAAAAATATATATACATGCAAAAATCTTGCTGTTATTTTAAGGTTTAAGATATGTTGCAAAAGATATGTTGATTTTGCACTTAAGTTTTTTTCATAACCATGAAATTATTCAATGAATATTTTGGATAAGTTATTTTTAACTGCAATACAATTCATTTTTCTTTGAATTACTATTTCATTAGTGCAATGATTTTTATATATATCAAAAGTTTTACCCGCAAAAAAATTACTATTTTATTGGTGCAATAATTTATATATATATCAAAAGTTTTTCATTGGTGCAATGATTTCTATATATATCAATACCCGTGCACGTACACGGGTATCCTACTAGTTTGTTCAATAAAAAAAGGAAGTAATTGTTTATAATATTATTTAATGATCATAGAAAACCAGCAATAGTGCAATCAACACTATCAAAAGTTCTCCAAAATACTAAGAAAGGGAACGAAATATCCAAAGTAGATACTTAAAACAAAATTTGGTAGCCAAACTTTAGCTTTTATAACTTGATAGTTGCAAAGGGTGGCTAGCCGGAAGAAAAAACGCAATGGAACATTTTTCAATATTTCATATTTTCAAGAATATTAATGATACTAATACTGCAACGTTTGCACAATAAGAAACAACGAAAAAACAGAAATATTCAAAGTAACAACAAATAACAAAGAAAATTTAATGATAATATTTTTGGGTGTGACTAGGTAAGGCTATCAATAAGTAGAACTCAACAGACAATTTAGGGCGATGATAAGGTAAGACTAAAGCTTAGGTCCAAAATTGTACCAATTCTTGAAAATGAAATACAAAATATCCAGACAATAATTTATCAATAAAAATAGTCAACAAAACTGGTTGAAAACAGCACAAAAATCCTAAACAAACAAAAAAGCATAATGAGTATGATCAAGCACCAACAATTTCAGGGGTTCCCTCAACTGCTGTCTCATCAGCAGGTCTTTCAACCTTGGTACCAACATCTTCCGAGTAATCACCGTGAACCTATGACAAGTAAAAGTAACAATACAGAGTAATTAAAAACATATAAAACTAGTTTCTTTTATTAACTACTCCGCAATTAACACTACACATTGAATAACAGACTAACAAAAACACTGACTTTAACCACATAGTGAATCGTGATTGAAACATTCGTTTCATTTAACAGAGTGCTGTTTTTAACTTATATATTCAACAACAAATGCATACCTCCATTAGTTTCCCAAGGTCAAACTTAGGAGCTTTCAGGATCTTGACTTTACGAATGAAAACATTCTGAAGAGGGTAGATGCCACAGGTAGCCTTCTCAATTTCTTTTCCAATCATCTCAGGGATAAATTTGCGGACAAGCTCTTTCAGGTCACAGGAAGATGCCTGGTTGATCATTTGCTCCCTCATCTTCCTACGGATCTAAAATAAATAAAGCCAAAGGATTGTAAAAATGTTTAATACTGCAATATCTTCAACAAAAGTTAAGTGACAATTAGAATCAAACACAATTTAAGTTTAATAATTAAATAAAAGTTTGTAGGTAACATAAGCACAGCTAGAACCTAAGCTTCAATATATTCATCAAAATTAACACTTTAGTTTAAAAATAAAATAAGTACGTGGGAAATATGGCACGGATAAACCCTAACTCTGTTGTCAAGTATGAAAAAAGATCAAGTGAATTTGGAGAAAAACTAGTAGCAAAGTTAAGTGTAAAGTAAATAAGGTACAATTGAAACGGCTGACAGAATATATACCTGTCTGATCTGGCTTGATTGGGCATAACAAGTCCTCTTAACTTGGTTTGCTCTTCTCTTTGTGAACCCAATGCAAAACATCCTAAGAGTGTAATTATCAGTGGTTTTCACATCGACATGGGCTTCAATAAGAGTTTGCCATTTGCGAACCAAAGACCTAAGCTTGTCAGTTGTGAAATCCATACCCTAAAAAATAAACAAATATCAATCAAACGTAATTCAGGAAGAAAATTTATCACTCAGAATTCATGAAGACAAATAAAAATGTAAATCCACAATCATACCCAGAAATTGGTCAAGAGGTTTTTCCCTTGAACATCTTCAGCCCTCAGCCTAATCTTCCTGAAAGCATTGTCCTCATCTCCTTGAAGATCAGCCAATGATACCTCAAACACACGATGTTTGAGTCCATCAGAAGCAATCTGTTATATTCAAACACCAAATAATCATTTGTCAATCATATAAAATTCTATATACATCAGACACAGCTAAAAAAACTTTTAAAAAACCTAAATAACAATAATAAATTTTAATTCTAATCTTAGGATAGATCTAACTTAATACGATAGTAACCTTACCCAATAGATTATTAACTCATGTGTACCAATATACAGAATCAACTATATACAATCATTTCAATCACAATATTTCATTCTTAAGATTAAAAGACCTAGAATCTAAACAATTTGGGACATTAATCAGTTGTTATCTAATCTTGTATGTAATCAGATAGAATAAACAAATACAGACAAATACAGAGGTGTTGAAATACTGACCTTGGTACCCTGAGTACGGGAGACAAGTGTTTTGCCGACATTCTTGACCTGGAAGACAGAAGGGGCTTTGATATCATACCAGTCCTTCTTTGCAAAGGGATCGGCGCTGTAAAACGATGATAGTAGTGAGAATCAGAGAGAGACAAAAAGAGTTAATCGAGATTATGAAATTAAGAGTTTAGGGAGTGGAAACTCACGCCTTCTTCTTGCCACCCTTCTTTCCCTTTGAAATCCGCTTGTTCTTCCCTACGGCCATTGATGCTTACCTTGAGATGCTGATGACTGCCGAATGCCTCAATCTACAAACCCTAGTTTTGTGTGGTAAAATGGACAGAACCCTTTTATATATTCTCATAAAACTCTTTTAGGCTTAGAAAACTTTTGGGCTTAGAAAACTTTTGGGCTTAGAATAGTTATGGGCTTAGAACTTCTGTTTAGATATATTATTAAAATTTAAAATAAACATTTATCTATTTTTTTCGTTTTGTATTTCTTTTATCTCTTAGTATAATAACAAACACATATTTAAACAAATATGTCAAAGAATTAAGATATATTGACATCAAATCTAGTCGATAGTTTGTTGAAGCATAAATTCAAGGTTTATAAAGAAAATTTGTCAAATATTATGTTCATTTGTTTCAAAATGATCTTTATAGTGTAATCTATTTTTGTTTAAAAAATACAAAATATTTTTATGAAAAATTAAATAAAAATTGGTTTAAATAGTTATTTTAGGTATTATCATTTTTATATTAATTTTGTTTATATGAAAATCTTAAAAAAATTACTTAAATTTGAAATTATTTTAAATAAATTTTTTAAAAATTATTTTTGAGATATATCTTTTTTTAAAATTATAATTTCACCTGTGTTTTGATTTTTAATATACATATTTATATTAAAGAATGTCAAAATTAGTTTTTCAATTTAATATATATATATATATCAAAAAAATATTTTATAAATATTATTTTTTTAAAATACAAAGAAAAAAAAATTTTAAAGCTAAAAAAATGGATCTTCAGTTAAAAAAAATGGGATTGCTCTTCTCACCGTTAACGGTGAAGAGTCACACTTAAAAAAACATGAAAATGTCTTTCACTAATTCAAAAGTATATTTTTAGACATTTTTATTGCTTACCAAAATACATTTTAAGTGAGACACCCTTACAATGATTTTTTTTATAAAAACACAGTTTTGTATGTATTTCACAACTTGAGAACTTATTTAAAAATGCATGTTTGGATATGTCATGTGATAAATTTAATAAAACATCACCTTGTAGTTGTTGCTTCAATCATGATTATATTGTCATTTCTTTTTCAAATTCTACGAAAACCTACTTTCAGACTTAATTAAATTTAAAATTCCTATTTCAAAACAACATTTCTCTATTTTTTCATACAAAAAATAAAATTTAGGGTCTGTTTGGTTCAAATGAGGGGGAGGGGAGGGGAGAGATTTTAATGAAGGGGAGGGGAGGGGAGGGGAGGTGAAGGAAATTTTTAATCAAATATGTGTTTGGTTCAAAAGAGAGGAGGGGAGGGGAGGGGTTTTAATTAAAAATGTGTTTGGTTCAGAAGGGAGGGGAGGGGTTTTATTAATAATTTACATTTTTATCTTTATGATCTTATATAAGTCATATGATATTAAAATGTGAAAAATTCGTGCGTATTTTTGTCAGTAATAAAATTTCTAATATTGAGTGATTAAAAAAATATTTATTTGTCACATAAAGTTTAAAAATTGAGTACAATCGATTCGACTTATAACTTTCCAACATAAATTAAACTATATGCCAATAACATCGTTTTAAATTGTGATGAATTATATAACAAAACAAATATATAAAATAACTTATTACTAAATAGTAATGGTTCAAAATATTTAATAAAATGAATAAACAAAAATAAATAAAATGATATGGTTTACAATTTGATATAAAAGAAAATATGATAGAGTATATAACAAAATTAAAAGAAAAAAATGAATATAACGAAACATAATTTTTTTTATAAAAAAAAGATAATGATTATGATTTATATTAATTATAAAAATTATAAAATAATTTGAAGGTGGAGAACAATTATAATAAGTTGATGAAAACAATCGAGAAAAAACAGTAACACAAAAGATAACAAATAGTTTTGAAATAATAAAATTAAACTGAGGATATTTTAGTAAATATAATAATTTTTAAATATCAAAAATCACATTCCCTCCCCTCCAAATCCCTCCAATTCGGAGAGAACCAAAAAGTGTGTTTTGGAGGGATTTTGCTCTCCTCCTCTCCCCTCCTAAAATTTGAATCAAACATATTTAATTAAAATTTTCCCTTCCCCTCTCCTCCATCTACCCCAAACCAAACTCACCCTTAAGGTAATGTACTTGTATATCTCATTAATTGCTAGAATCTATTTTTTGGTCTAAAAAACGAACATTGAGTCGGAAATTGTATTTTCAGATTTTTGTTGAATGTCATATGAAATTTTATTTTCGGATTTATTCAGTGTTGCTTTTGGTAAGTTTTTAATTTTTTTCCTGTTATTATTGGTCTTAAATATGGTGCACCCTGATGTTGACCTCAAAGTTACTGTATTTATGGATGTTCGAGTTTATTTTGGACTCGCGATGCCCTATACCACATACATAATCGGATTTGACAGTTAATTCTACAAAGGAAGCTTAAACTTGATAGGATAATTTTTGTAATTAAATAAAAAAAATTATAATCCCTCTCTCAATATTATTTTAAATATATATCACTCACACGTTTGTTGCATGTCTGCGTGTGTAATATATGTGTATGATTTAAATAATAATTGTCAAATAAAACTTATATGTATCAACTAGGCTTTTGTTGCGTCTATGTGTGATTTATATAATAATAGTCAAATAACACATGTATTTATTACTTAAGGTAGGGTATGTGATGTAATGGAATGAAATAGAGTGGTAAATAGTGTAATTTAATTGTTTGGATTTTAAAAATTTTGATACAATGGAGTGGAACATGATGACATTCATTTCAATCCTCAATTTTTCATTTCATCTGATTTATGGTGTGCAATAGAATGAAACATTATTGATAAAATACATAAATAATGAAGTGAGATTTATATTCAATTTCATTTTGTTTCATTCCATTTTATTATATTTCACTTTGCTCTGCTATGTTATGTTCCATCAATCCAATCATAACCATATGGAGTTAATGGGTCGGTGGAGGATAGAGGATGCATAAGCATAATAAGATAAATTTATTATTTTTAATCAAATTAATTATAAATTTATTCATCTGTGTTCCTGATTCTCGCCACGGGAGAAATTTGTTCATCATCCTTATCCTTGTGGATCCCTTAGAGATCCATAATCATAATAAGATAAAATTATTATTTTTAATCAAATTAATGATAAAAATTCAAACTAACGAATAAATATAAAATATAGTCGGTTGTGTCACCCTCAATGTTGTCCGTCATTCAATAAATCGATACATGCATCGAGACATCTTTATATGCATATCATAGTTTGTGTTTTCTCTCGCATAATTCCTAAAATATCGATCAGGATAAGTTTTTGGATCCACCGACAAATCGGTCGAACTGATTCTCAAATGTATGTGAAATTAGCTTGCAAGAAAATTTAAAATCGAGCTTACAAATGTCAATTTTATTAATTTACGGTCTGTGTAGTTCAACCTGACGTACTTGTTTTATTTTTTTGACTTTTTTTCGGTCGCATCTTAATCAACTTAAGCCTTTAAACCGAGTGGTTTTGCATCTGGCCTTAACCTTTAATGATAATTGCACATGTTATCTTAGAGAACAATTCAGTACTTTATGATTTCTGTCTATTGTGTAGTTGTTGCTAAATCAGATAGAAAGGCGGGTGACATTGTCAGACTCTGATCTAAACACTTTAGAAGAAAACATATGTTATGTACAAGTTAAAGTCAATATTCAGGAATGCTTTTTTAATACGACGGTTCCGAAGAATGCTTGTACTAAAGCTTATGATTTAGACTTTGTTATTAAGTCTTGAAGGCTTTCTAAAAGATGTGCTTCTATTACTACAGGTTCTAAAGTTTTTAAAGACAAGGTTCAGTTGAACGAAGTTTTGAAGATGCTAAAGACATAATTTCTAAAGATTAAGTTTTGAAGACTCTAAAGACAAGGTTTTGTTGAACGATGTTTTGAAGAATCTGAAGACAAATATGTGTTGAACAAGTTCTGAAGATTTTAAAGACAATGCTCTGTTGAATGAGTTATAAAGATTCCGAAGACATCACATATAAAAGACCAAGTGCTGATGACTTCTAAGATAGTTTTGTTGAACGAAGATCTAAGACTCCGAAGACTTAGGTTTTGAAGTTACAAGTATTGATCTCTCTCTACAACATGCTTCATCAAATCTACATCTGAAGCCTAGGAAGAATTAGAAGACAACAGATTAAGAATGGTTGGATAAAATGTTGAATGTAAAAGTACAAAATAGTTTATGACCTCTGCCTAGACTAGGTGGCGTAAGGACAACTTTTTGTATTATGATATGACTATTCCTCCAGTGAACACTGGGATATCACATATGGAATATGTTTCCTATTATACCCTTCAATGGATATATTCTCAAACTCTATATATTGAAGATCTGAATGCTTGAATAATTGTTATTGTATGTTGAGCATAAATGCTAAATGCCGAAGTGCTAAAATGCTGCAGTACCAAGAGCCAGAAGAGTCAAAGTCATGAGAGAATAACGAGAAAAAGGATTAAAAGAGCTGAAGAAAACACAAAATAATATGTGCAAGGCAGAAGCAAGCACCAAGTCATAAGCTCAAGAAGAGGATGTTCAATGCTCAACTAAATTAGAGGGTTGCTCTACACGAAATTAGAGAATCATTAAAAGAAGCTTATGGTGATACGATGCAAATATCAAGGAAATTATTCGTAAGATAGTCTTGTAAATTAGCAAGGAGTTGTTGTTCGTATCTTGCTAGAAACACTATTTTGTTATTGTACTTCAATTGTGTCATCTGCTTATTTAGAAGTCGTTCATGTACACGCATTTGTATAACTTTTCAAAGTGTAGATTCCTCAAGTGACTACAAATTTGTTAAACGCGAATTCCAAATAGGCATCCTAATCCTACGAAGAAACTAGAAAGACTCGCACAAGGGCAAGTTTGCTGCGAATTGGGAAGGCCCCTACCGTGTCCATGCAAAGACAGACAACGAGGTCTACTCCCTCGAA